AACATGAACAAGCTGCTAATGTGTCTAATACTTATGTTTCCACAAACTCTAAGGATTCTTGTAAGTTCCAGGGAGCTGAATTGGATCCAAACAAACAGGTCAGATTCACTCCAGTTATTCAATCTTTCCCTGGTCCCAGGACTCCCTTCCCTCATGTTAGAACTCCTCAGGAACCCCTCCCTCATCTTACAATCTTCCCCTCAAGTGACAGGACCTAAGAAAATTTTTTTTCTAAACTTAACCTTGTCCTCTGCTCTGTCAACATCTTGCCAGGTCTAAGAGGCATCAGGGAGTTCCATACAGCCTGGACTGCAATGAAACAACCAGCTACCCCAGGACGTGGCAGCACCCCAACCTTCTCAGGTCCCCCAAAGATGGTCAATGCCCCCCACATCAGCAGGAAGCATTCTTGAGAATTTGATGCCCTTATTCCTTAACCTGCCATGTCTAACACCCCACCTTTTTAAATAATAAGTAGAGGTGGGAATGAAAGGTTCAGGCATTATGCTGGCCTGCCCCTGTTACCTGGTGGAACAGGCAGTACCCTGGTCAGCCCAAGGTTCCATGGGAACTAAGTCTGCACACAGGTGCAGAGGACCCCTTTAAAAGTCAGGTCCCTGCCCATTTACGCTCTCTGTTTCCTCTCTCTGATTCCCTGCTCTGTTTCCTCTCAGCTTCCTTTCTCTCTACTCTGTCTCCCACCTATGCTCTCTCTCTGCCTGTCTATGGCGACTGACCATGGCGGTCAGCCATTACCCTGTTCCTCTTCTTAGTCTCGCCATTCTGTCGGGCCTTATAATAAACTTATATGTCTCATGTCTCAGCATTTCTCTTTTCTTCTTTTTAAGCAAAAGAATAACAGGCAGGATGCTGGCTGTGCTGGCCACAATGAGGCTTTGCTTAGTTTGTCTGAGAGGCCCCCAAAGTGTCCTTGAGAGACTCTGACCTAGATAAGCTCAAGGCTTCCATACATCTCCATGGTAACAAGCTCAAGGCTTCCATACATCTCCATGGTAACAAGCTCAAGGCTTCCATACATCTCCATGGTAACAAGGTCATGGTGATACAGTGTGATGGCTTGCTTTGTATTGAAATTCGGCATAAAAGACAAAACTGTGCACTGTGGGTATTTATACACTCACATGCCTGTTACCTGAATTTGTATTCACAAACCAAATATGGGAGGGCTTCCTCTTCCATTCCTCATGTTCACCTAGTACTCTCTGAGCATGGTTTTAGAGGAAAGATGTAACAATAGAGAGTGAGAGAGTGGCATTGGTCTTTATAAAAGTCTACCCCAGAGATCAACAAACCTTTTTAATGAAGGGCCAGAGAACAAGCAGTTTTTAGCCACACAGTTTACTGGGGCAAATACTATTGGTACAGAAGCAGCCACAGATAACATGTAAAGTAATGGGTGCAGATATGTTGCAATAAAACTTTATAAAAACATGGTGAAGCAAATGAGGCCACTGCTCATAGTTTGCAAGATGTCTTATGAACAACAAGCAGGAATGCCCCTTGCAGGTCCCTGTCAGCTTCATAAACAGTAAATAGTTCCTTACCCTAGAGGAGAGAAGGTTGGGAAATTATATAAACCTATGGCCGTTCAAGGGGTCATGAGTTAGGTTCAAGTGAAGAAATGGTCATTGCTTTAAAGTGTCAATGGTAACTGAGAGATGGACCTCATGTTCTGTTTTCTGTCTAGAACATCAGGCAAGTACACCTCAGAGAAGTGATCATATTGTGACTTTGACAGAACAACCTCACACCATGTCCCCAAGGACTGAGGGGTCAGGTACCAAGTATGCACAGAATGGATTTCTGTATCACAAAGCAAGTATAGAAGAAACAGAGAGGGACTGGGCCCCAACAGCCACATGGGGTATTGAGAGAGACACTTTCAAGGTAATAGGTAAGTTCCCATGACTGGGGGCCAAGAAGGGATGCATGATGTAGCACACATCATCTGGCAAACTGTTCCAAGAGAAACCATGTGCCCCTCTCCTTCATTTGTATGTTAAAATTCTACCCAGCCCCAATGCCCCAGAATGGTAACCTTATTGGGAAATGGGGTCATTGCA